TCTCATGTCCTGCCCACTGGTGGGCGGGGCCGTGGCAATACTGCCCAGTTACCTGCAAATGGTCCGAGGGTGTGTTGCCTGTGAGACGACGCTCGGTTATGTGCCTGGACCAAAATGAGGTTGTGGTCGCAGATAATCGTTGCAATGCAACACTAAAGCCACCTGACACAGAACCCTGTAGCTATAATTTACCGGCCTGCAAGGTAAGCCAAAAGCTGGATAACTTTATTTTGCGAGTGCAAAACTTATAGTACGCTTGAGCGACTTTTTCATTACAAATGAAAGGCAACATACATATTTATGGCTTATGTTTATTCATATTGAAAATGTATAATTTTAGGTTTTAAGAATGTGTTGTACTTAGCAGTAATAAAAAAACGTTGTCTACGAATGTTTTGAACAAAATCGAAGTTGCTAAAATCTATGCATGTATGTATGTACATATGTATTTCAGATACAAATTATGGCTAACATTTTACAATATGTGTGTGTATGTTTATGGTTAAGTTGGAGTGTAATTGTATTGTTAAACGAAGTAATTTATTGAAAAATAATAATAATATTAAAAAACACAAACACAAGCTGTGCATTCCCGTCGCCACACGCGCTGGGTGTTCTTGAAGCTAAAATCTTGTGTTGTCGGGCATTTTAATGAAATGCGCTATTTTATCTTTGGGCACTTTGTAGTTGTGCATCCAGCGGCTGCCTTTGCGCAGAGACCCATCTATGCCATCCTTCCATACACCTTGCGGTAAGTAAACTGCATAGGTAAAAAATTATTAAGTAAGTATACATATTTACATATATTTATTACAATAGTTTAGTTTATAATGAAATAAGAGAGTGTGGCTGCTTTACACGGCGAAAGTGAAACTTCTGGCGATTTATTTCTTGTTCTCCCTGAATTCAATCAGTTATAATTATAACAATAACATAATAATAATTATAACAATAACAATAACGGGACTAAATACTGGCGACTTTTGTTAACCCATTACAATACGGAAATTTGACAAAATATATGTAAATTACATAAAATAACACGCGAAGAAAAATTTATTTTTTAAAAAATCGATAACTCGATAACTAAGACAGTTATCGGAAAAAATATATAATTTTTTCGTCTTATTTTTAGAAGATTTACAAATAAAACTCATCAAATAGAGACTTATTCTAAGTCATTCTCGAGCCCCTATTTTGGACCCCAGGGGTCCCATAGGTCCGACCGCCAAAAAAGTTTTAAGTAAGTAAGAGAAAGAGAAAGAAGAAGGAAGCTGTATCAAAGTTTTTCGCAACGATTTTTAAATTCACCGCCGCCGTTAAAGCAGTTTCACTTAAAAAAAAATAATAATAAATAAATAAATAAGTAAAAAAATCCCACCTTCACGTTCTTCCATATTCTTTTCCAAAATTGGCGCCACGATTAATTCTTCACCAACTGAAAATTCGTCGTTAACAACTAAACAAGCTGGGTCATGAGGATCTAGCATCCATAGCGGTCGTACAAGTGGCAAACCTTCATTCATGGACTCGCTCAGATATTTTTTCAATAACGGTACTACAGTTTTTTGTCGTATGGACATTAAATCTTTGGTCTGGTCAGTTATATATTCGCTTTTATATTCAGATGGTAAATGGCTAAACTGCATGGACGGCATGAAAGTCATCAGTTGCATCCAACGTATAAAAAGGTCTTGTTCGACAAGTTCCGGTTGTCCCAACGAATAGAAAGACACCATCTTTTTCAATGTTCGGTTTACGAAATAATCGCCGCCAATCGCGCCAGGCAGAACAAACGGATAACCATTGACACCATAGTTCAAAACAATGGTCAGTAGGTCGCGCAAACCCTCCCAGGAGGAATTTATCGGCGGGGTACTTAGGAATGTTGGTGGCTTTGGTACGACACTTGCGCTGGAAACACCAATGAAACCAACACTTTCCATACTGCTGGTAAAAATTTTAGCATACATATCGGGGTTATCAAGCGTGATGCGGCACTGATAGTAGTGCGGCAAATTATAGCTGGTGCCCAGGTCCAGATAAAAGCTATCCACTTGATAGTCTTCCTTTAACTTTTCGAGTTTTTCTCTTAGCCATGGTATAGACGCATTGTTCGTTATGTCCAATACGCCGGCACTGGACGAACTCTTGTAGCGTGTAAGCGCCGGTATGCTACGGTCTGAGTGCCTTTCGTAGATGAGCAATTTGTTTTTGACGGCATCTTTGAAATTTGGACTGTCCGTGCTGATAAATGGCTGTATTGTGAATACGACTTTGAAGCCGCGTCGATGCAGCACTTCAATAGTGTCTTTGAGAGTTGGGAAGCGCTCTTGATCCACAATAAAATCGCCTATATTTTTCTGCCAAAACTCGTTTACCAAAATATGGCCCAAACGCATAAAGCCCATTGCAATCACATCCTCCGAATAATTGTATATTGTTGTTTCATTTATCGATGCCACTTCGCTTTGGAAGGGTATTTTCCACACCGGCTCTTCAATTAACGAATGCAGTGTGTAGATATCAGACTCTTTAAGTCCATCCCACAGGCTCTGTTGAGTCATCAGCATATGGAGGCTGCGCATGTCTTCGGTTGTGCAAATTTTATACGACAACTCGGGATACTCTGTTAGGTGATTGACGAATGTGAAATTATCATTTCGCGCACGAAGACAAAATCTATTCTCGGTTTGATTGACAGAAATGTGCAAAGGTGTATGATCGTCCACTTGCATTGCCACACCAATTGAGTTTATGAAATAACGTTTCACCCCGTTGCCAAATTGATGGACCTTAGCATCTCCACTGGCAAATGGAGCATAATCAAAGTTTGCCGAGCTAAGAGACCACTCCATACCCTTCGTAAAACCGCCACCGAACCAAAGCCCGTTGTCCCGCTTTAACTCGTAGCAGTCCGTTGGGTAAATACCCGAACCCAATGCTTGCCACTGTATATTATAGCATCGAAACACATTCATATTTTGAAAATTCATGTAAAGTCGCGCTATGCCATTCCACTCCAAACAAACGCTGCCATCATGCTTGCGCTGGTCTTCTAGGCAATAAAATGGAACACTGTCCGAACTTATGGAGAGACCCAACTGACCTCTTATCACCTCCTTCTCCTCGTGGCTTAAAATACTGAAAGTACGATCCACTGAACTAAATTTGATTTTATCGAAATACGAACGCGTTAAAATCTCTCGATGATAGGTGATGTAAGAATATCCGATCTGAAACATAGAGCAAGTTTTTTAGTAATGTGGTTGAGCTTTGGTACCACGATTTGTTTGTAGGGAAAAATTTAAAAAGCAACAAGCAAGTCTAAGCGGTAGAAGTTATAGCTGCTATTTCGGAGATCACCACATCTCTTCATCAGAATTTTTCTCTAGACCCGCAAGTCAGTAACGATAACCTTTGTTGCTTTTTCCGCTTTTTCCTAACGAACAAATCGTGGTACCAAACTCAATAATATTGCCAAAGAGCAAGTATAACTTTGTAGTAAAAGATCATGCCTGTTTTCAAATAAGCCAAGTAGAAATAAGAAAAGTGTGAGCAAACCTGAGCAATATGCCCAAATGTGCTCTGTGGAAATGGTGTATAACTCTTACCAAAAATACAATTATGAAAAAAAGTATGGTGACAAAAATCTTGATTTTGTAGTCTTTGGTTTCGCGTTTCTTTTTACGAATCATTTGCGGAAATGCCTGCAAAAAATATAAGAAATACGAGTACTTGAGAACATATAGTCGTATGAAAAAATTCCCAAAAGAAGATACTTACATTCATTTTTTCTCGCAGTAAACTCGCCAAAGAGTTGACGCTGGTGATCGAGGCCTGGTTACTAGCCACGCTGTGGGTGTCAAAATCACTGGCAAGCATCTCTTTGCTGTTGAGACGTAATGCGGGTAAAGGTGCGATCGAGGCCCGTCGTCGACTCCGAAATGGATCGCTGTATTAAAGAGATACTGATTAGTAGTAACAAGGCCGTATTTAGAGGGGGGTGGGGGATGTAGGTGTTCAATTTTTGTTATTGAACTTTTGTTATTTTTTTTTTAAATAAAAATATAGTTCATTCTTTAACAAAACCCGTGTAAATCCAAGTTTCTAAATTTGAGTAGTCCACTTGCAAAGTGCGCTATGTAAATTTTTTTCGATTTTTACTTTTTGGTGAGTAACGTACCAGTATTTAAAGTAGTTTCATGTCCACTAACAATACCGTGCAAAATCTTTCTACTTTCTGGCTTACTATTATCAAATCACATGACGCTTTTTGCAAGTGAACTACTCATTTGTGCAATATTAAAAAAAAAATTCAACAAACTTTCCTAAAAATTTCGAACTTTTAAAAATTCTGAAAAATCAATCGAAATGTTTAGCCATTTGAAACTTGTACTTTATTCTACCAGAATTCAAAACTCGAAATTTTAAGGAAAATTTGTTCAATTTTTTTTTTTAAATTGCATACATTTTTAAGGCAGTGTCACTCGACTGGTACAATTGTACAGATTTGTAAATTTTTATATAAATAAACTAATATATTTTTGACGAACTTTTGCGAGAAAAAAGTTAACAAATCCTGGCAGCGACACCCAATTTTTTTAATTTCAAAATTTTCGTGCATGCCTCATGATGTCGATATTTTGAACGACCACCTTAATGCATTTATTATAAACTTTAAATTTTTGAAATCTCATAGTAATTTTTACATGTTGATATCTTATAAATTATCGAAAAATTTTCGAGGAAAACATTGCAGATACTAGGGTTGTGCGATTAACTGATTATTCAAACTTTTAATTAATAACTAAATAAGTAAATAACTCAAATATTCGATTAATTGAAAATTATGATTACTCAAAAGTTCAGTTACTCGAGCAATCAAGATTTTGATTAACCAAACACAAGAAATATTTTAGTAATTTGCTTTATGATTAATCAACATTATAAGTAAAATGAGTAATCAACAGCTCAAAGTACTCTTTACCATTATAAAAAAAGGAAGGTAGAACCGCTGAGGAATTTTTCAAATTCTTGTCGTTTGCAAGCAATTTAATTTTACAATTTTGCAAACAAACTCACACACACATTCTCCCAAGGCGAATTTATATAAGGTGCTGCTACTAGCTCAGCTGATTTCGTGTATGTGTTTCGCCGCGCGGCTTCTGATATCAAATTGAAAAATTTTGTTTGAATTTCTACACACTTACAGATTTTGACAGTTCAGTATTTAGCAAAGCGAAGAAAGTTGTATGTGAATCAGCCTTACAGGCTAACCTAATATTCGCGGCTTGCGTTTTGGTACGCACGCCGTAGAATTTTTTGTTTTGCGTCACCCGAAATTGACTTGCATGCGTTTGCATTTGATTTCATTGAGCGAAACGTCAAATCAAAATGTCACGCAGAACAAAAATTGGAAATTGAGTTAGCTTCATACGCGCGCCGTTCAATTTCGGTTGGTCGCATACAAGTTGTACGTGCATGAGAAATTTTTGACAGTAAATTGGCGGCGTGCGTGAATATTAGGTTAGCCTATTAAGCATTTTCCAAAGCAAACTCTTTTAACTAGCGAAATCCATTTTTTGAGTAATCATGTTTCAAGTAATTCGATTAATCATTGTTTTGAGTAATCATGCTCTTGATTACTCGAGTAATTGATTAACCGAATAACTGATTAACCAAGTTACTCGAGTAATCGAATGATCGCACAGCCCTAGTAGATACGATTGAGAACTTTTTAAAATACAGTAGAATTGCGATAACTCTGACAATTTCTTTATTTACCGGTCTCGGATTACCTCTCACGAAAAGCACGCGTTCACTATGTTTGTAAGTACATATAATACATATTCAATTCAATCTTTATTTAGTCTATGACTTATAAGGGATGTTAATTTTTTCGCTTTTTCCCGGGATCCCGGGATTAGTCACGAGGACTTAGATATTCATTACTTTTCAACAACTCAACCCACATCAATCGTTTGTATCAAATTGATGCAAATTTCGAAAACATATTAAAATATTAAGAAAAATAGTTAATGTTTTGGGTTGTTTTTTTTTTGCAACAAATATATATATATAGATCTTTCAAGCATTTTTATTCTTATTATCAGAAAATTATTAAACTTTGGTCATTCAAAAAAAAAAAGAGAAAAAACCCAACATTTCATTGAATACTAGGGTCTTTTTCCATATGTATCAAATTGATGCACAACGTACTTGTGTTACAAATAATTTCCGATGGATGCGGATTAAATCGAAAATATTGCTTCCATATATGTTCCAAATTGAGAGAACGGTTATACCTTGCTATATTTTTATCATGGTTTCAAAGATATGATTGATTCCAAAAATTATTTTAAAAATTCAATGTAATGCAGAATAAAAATATGAGTACCAAATGAAAGAGAAAATTTCTTTAGAATTTAAAAAAATTAAAAGTTTTTGCATTCACAAGGACGAATAGGTAATTTTTTAAGCTGATAAAGTTAGAAGGACGAAATTCGAGAACGTTATCGAGTTTATATAAGTTTTTAACATATAAAATTTTAAAAAGACATTTTCAATATTTACCAGTCCTTATGCACCAAAAAGTTTAATATTTTTAAATTCTACAGAACTTTCTCTTTAATTTAATACCCATACTTCTTCTCTAAACACATTTCACTGAATTTTTTAAATAATTTTTAAATTACTGACGTCAGAGTGCAAAACTGAAAATGAAATTTTACCATGGTTTCGCGAATATATTGATTTTTGTGTGTAAAATTTACTATAGCACGGTGTTATATGTATAATGAGCTAGCCATTTATAAAAAAAATTCAAATCCAATAACTTACTTACTAAAAAATTGTTTATTATAGCTTAAAATTATTGTAACCAATAGAGGTAAATATGTTGTACAAAAAACAAATAAACAGAAGTTCACAAAAGTTGATATAAAACTATTCGTCGATTTAAATTGTTAACTTTTTACTGATCATGTTTTTTTACGAGGAGGAAGCATCGAAAGCCTAACCCCGTCAGTGTGAGACTTTAACCCAAACTAAACTTCCTACCGTCATGTACCGTTCCCCTCCCGGTATGACCGTCAAGGATTTCGTCGGGATTATAACACTGTGTGACTGATAAGGTTATAGATATATTCACTTCTTCTTCTTCTTATTTGGCGCTGTAACCGCCAATGCGATTTTGGCCAACTGACGCCAATTGGAAATGCCAAGTGAAGCCAGAATACTTTCAGAGGTGGGGCGTCGGTGTCCATTCGAACGACATGGTCAAGCCAGTTGTATTTTAATTCGCTATATACCAGCACGGGCATGATAAGTGACTTATAGTGTGGTTTTCGTACGTCGAGAGAGGACTTTACTCCTGAATTGCCTACTCAGTCCAAAACAGTACTTGTTGGCAAGAGCGATACTGCGTTGGATTTCCATGCTGACATTATTATCGGTGTTACCGCTGATTCCCAAGTAAACGAAATTCTCTACGTTCTCGAAATTATAACTGTCAAAATTGACGTGGGTGCCAAGGCGCGAATATGCTGATTATTTGTTTGATGACAGGAGATACTTTGTCTTGTCTTCGTTTACCACCAGACCCATTCGCTTTGCTTCCTTGTCCAACGTGGAAAAGCCAGGACAGACTTCGCGGTTTTTCTTACCGATGATGCCAGTGTTATCGGCAAAGGCCAGCAATTGTACGCTCTTGTAGTAAATTGTTCCTGAGCGGTTCAGTTCTGCAGATCTTATTATCTTCTCCAACATCAGATTAAAGAAGTGGCATGAAAGAGAGTCGCCCTGTCTGAAACCCCGTCTGGTGGCGAAAGGCAACAGAGCAGAGCTGGTGGTATTGCTCAACGTCATTTTTCACAGCCGTATGAGTTTTGAGGGGATGCCAAATTCAGACATAGCGGCATATAGGAAACTCCTTTTAGTGCTGTCGAAAGCGGCTTTAAAGTCGACAAATGGGTGGTGAGTGCCGATCCTTTTCTCGCGGGTATTTAACAAAATTTGGCGTATTGTGAATACCTGTTCTATGGTAGACAAGACATTCGATAAGACCTTGCAACCTATGTGGATTGGGCAGAGCGCACTTGAATTCCAGTCGTCGGGCACGCACCTTATTACCTCCTTGCCATCGTAATTAAATAGCTCAGCTGACAGGCCATCAGCTCAAGCAGCTTTGGCACTTTTCGTCATAGTCAGGCGCTGGGATATCGACTCCGTCGTCATCGACTGGGACCTCGGGTTCGTCTTCTCCACTTCTTTCAGTGCTTCTGCCATTCCAAAGGGTCGAAAAGTGTTCCCTCCATAATCTGAGTACGTTCTGGACATCGGTCACTAGGTCGCCATGGCTGTTCCTACAAGAGTCTTGAAACCTTCCGTAAGTCGCTCAACTCTCTGCTAAAAATTTCGGGTGTTTTTTCTGTCGGCCAGCATTTCAAGTATTTTCTCACACTCCTCATCATACCAGTAATGAGCGGGAAATGTGGTTCCACTGATCGCGCAAGTCGGTTTGTTGAAGAGTGCTCTCTCACTGCAGGTGTGAGTGTCGAGCGCCGAATCCATTGGCCGTCTGTTTTGATTGGAGCTTTTCGACGTTGAACTTTCCTTGCGTTGTTGGGGGGCCCTTTTTTTGCTGCTCAGAGGTTGGGTCGTATAGTGGATGCATCAGTGCGAGTCGATGTTTGGCCCTCGGAGTGTACGTATGTACATCTAAAACATGGAAGCATGCCTTCCGTCTATCACAACATGCTCGATTTGTTTTCCCGTTTTTCGATGTGGAGACATCCATGTAGCTTGATGGATCTTTTGATGCTAGAACCCAGTAATACATACTGCCAAGTTTCGGGCCCCGGCGAAGTCGATGACCCTCAGCTAATATGTACGCTCTAAGCTAAGAGAGCCTTGGATGCCTCGTCCCTCTCTTCCATCGGGGCTTTGGCACATATGAATGAGATGTTGAAGAATCTCGCTTTGATGC